TGGGGGATATAAACAGTCAACAGGTTCAGCTCGGATGAGGGCACAGCTGAACTTGAAGAAGATAGGGATTATTGGGCTCAGAGGATAGTCATATACAGCAAAGAAAGGTGCCTTGACTCCTCTGCAGCTGATGGGGATGGAGCTGACATCAAATCCACATCCTCCTAAGGGGACCGCATCAACTCTCCTGGCAACTGTCTTCCCAGCTCGATGCCCCTGTGCTGTGAAGCTTCTGGGAATGGTATGTCCCTGTGAGCAGCTTCTCTGTTATTACTGTGCAAGACAGGGTTTGGATTTCAGTTATCTCAGTGCCGCTGGCCCTTGCTCTGCCACCCACCAAAGTGAGCAAAACATCACTCCAAATTTAGCAAAATCTGGACGACCATCAGCAACATTTTTATTGCAAATTAGTTAACAAAAAAGATGAAAAAATACATCATTTTCATTACCTACAGTTTTACATGTAGATAACATTTTTTTTTTAAGTTTCCTTTTTTCTGTAAACTACACTTTATTTTATAAAACATGGTAAGAATCAACATCTTAGGATGTGTCTGGTCATACCTACTAGGAATGGTACAGACACTGCCCCCCCAAAAGCCAGGAGGAGCTGCCCTGAGGAGGTGGGCACCTGCCCCTGAGCGCGCCTCCAGCATACAGTGGCTGGGAGAGGGCTTGCTGGATGGCGGATGGGGCCATCCTGGGTTGTGCTCTTAGGAGCTACTGGTTCGGCAGCTGCAGGTCACGAGGCCTGGGTGGCACTGAGCCACGTTTCTGACATTCCTCATCAGCTTGACACAGGACAGACTTGTTCCTTTAGATTTTTTAAACAAAATCCACCTTTAACATGTATTTACAGGTACTTATTCTGCCACAGGCTTATACTTGATACTGCAAGAATCTGTTGTGAGCACTGCCCTGAACCAGGAGGGATATCCCAGAGGCAGGCGCTACCCCACATTCCAGCACACTCAGGCAAGTCCCCAACCTGGGCAGAGGACTTCACAGCCCAGATTTCCTTGAGGTTTCAATGCAGGCCACTCTGGCGAGTCCACAATGCACACTGGAACCCTTCAGTAGTCAGGTTTTGGGAGCCCAGGCCCAGGCAGGGACAGTCCATCCTCAGTTGAATTTGGATGATGCTGTTCAAAGAGTAATGCTGGGGCCCCCACAGGGAAAAAGTCCAGGCAGTGTCTTATTCCAGGAGGTGGGGTTACTCTACATGGTCCCCAGGAAGCACCACATCCTGCATGGCTCACTGGCTCAAGATGTCAGGAAGGGGACAGTGGGGTGGGGCAAGCGGGGAGGGAAGTACTCCCAAGGCCCATCAACACTACTATGGAACACCGAAGCCTGAAGATTCCTGACTGGTACTGGGTAGCACCCTCTGCACGTGCCAAGGACACCTCTTTAAACCCAACACTGGTAGTTTTAGAAAATGTATAAACCACATCATTTTACTTGTTTCCTGTTTTAGATACAAAACTAATCTATGAGCCCAAGGTGTGAAGGTCTTGGCCTGTCTCTAAACACATCTACAAATCCCAGGTCACTGGGAGGAGGGGGCAGTGGGTGTAGGGTGGCAGGCATCTGGGTAGACAGGGATTTCTGGCCATGGCAGGTTCCAGTTTCCCTTCTGTCATGGTTTCCTTTTTGATTTTGGAAAGAAGCAATCAATAAATAAACAGCATTTACAAATCATGAATCCTTGTTCATATTTTACAAACACACAGGGAACTTTACCCTGACCAGGAAAATCAAGGCTCTTGAGAACTAGTTTATTTTCTTGGAACAGATACGTTTTTCCCTAGTGCCATAGAAAACAATACATATAAATAAAAAGGCAGTGTTTCTGTGGAAAATAAAAGTACATAAATAAATACTAAAAAAAAAAAAAGGAAATTCTTGTCCTCTTATTTTGTATAAAAACATTTAAAAAAAAAAAAAAAAAAAAAGCTCCTTTGGTCGCCCCTGCATCCTGGAGCACTGGAAACGACTCCCAACAGGGCTTGGGAACGGAAGCTGGGGTCCTGCATCCCGCATCACTGTTTACTTAAATGCCTCTGGAATGTGGGTGATCTGGGACGGCATGCTGGTGGGCGGGCTGGAGATGCCCTCGGACCAATCAGAGATGTTGGAATGCGGGGAGGAGCTGGACCACTGGTCAGGAGACTCGGGGGATGGGGTGAGGAAGGGGTGCTCTGGCACCTGCAGCTGGTGGCTGGGGGTGTTGTCCACAGGTGAGGATGAGTAGCTGTGCTGGGAAGGAGGGGTCAGGAATTGGGTAGTGGTCATGGGCGGGACCATCGAGGATGGCAGTGATGTGGGCAGGGCCTGGCTCTCCTGGGGCAGGATGGTGTGCACAGGCAGACTGCTGGGGCCCAGTGGCTGTACATCCGCCTGGCTGTGCTCCCCACTCAGAAAGCTCCGGCCCAGGTGCCCATTGGCTGCTGAGCTCACACTGAGGTGTGGCTGTGATGGTGGCTGCAGATTCTGAGGCTGGATTTGTAAGTTCTGTGGCTGCACCTGCTGGGTCTGCACCAGATGGGGCTGCGTAGCCAGCCGTGTGTTGGGCAAGCCCTGGTAGATCATTGGGGACAAGGTATTGGTGGAGAGACTGTTGTGTAGTGGGCCCATCATGCCATGCTGGAGGCCAGCTGCCTGTGTGCTCAGTGTGCCCGATGCCACACCTGGCCGTAGTGGGTTGTACTGGCTGGGCACCATGCCGTTCTGCAGCCGGGGGAGCCACTCACACTGGCCATTCAAGCTTGCAGGCGCACCCACGGTGAAATTCATAGCCCCTGTGCCATTGGTACTCAGCACTGTGCTGGCACTGGAGGCTACAGGCAGGTGGGAGAGGCGTGGGGGCTGTGGCTCAAAGGCCAGCCGGCTGCTTCCGGCCAGTGCTGCCATCTCAGGCTTGGCTGCCACATTCAAGTGGCTGATGCCCAGGTGGGTGTCAGGCATACCAGGCAGGTGGCTGAGAGGCATGGATGGAGACTGCTGGAATGGGGAGGGGAGGAGGGGTGGTGAGGCCACGTCTGACAAGTAGCCGTGAGGTGACTCAAGGGAGTCCACAGGCGACAGCATGCTGGAGCTGTCCAACAGGCAGCCCTTGCCATCCTGGGACTTCTTCCTCCGTGCTTTGAGGTCCTTAGCTTCCTTGCTGCCACAGGCCAGCCCTTTGGTGCTGGGCTTGCGAGCCTTTTTGCCTTGTGTGGCGGACTTGAGGTTGCCCAGGTAACCATTGGGCGAGCAGAGTGTGGGAGATAGGGTGGGCGTGCCACCCAGGGCAGTGCCGTGCAGCTGTGGGCTGCGCACCAGGTTGTACTCATCCAGCAGCCGCACGATATCGTGGTGCATGCGCTCCTGAGCAATGTCCCGTGGCAGTCGGTCCATGTGATCTGTGATGTCCCGGTTGGCAAAGTGGTCCAGCAGCACTTTGGCAGTCTCATAGCTGCCCTCACGGGCGGCCAGGAACAGGGGAGTCTCCTCCTGTAGGACATGGACAGGAGGCTTGGTATAGGACCTGCTGAGTCATTCATGATGGATGGCCTGGGAGGAGGAGCTAGGGAAGCAGTAGTTCCTCTTCCTCTTTTCACAGTGGGGGAGACCTATCTAGACCCAAACATCCTAGACTACCAGGCTTGCGGGGAGGAGGGTTATAGTGGGGCCTCCCTATGTTACCCAAGATGGCCTGGAACTCACAATCATCTTGCCTTCACTTCCTAATCCTAGGATTACTGGCGTGTGCCACTACACCTGGCTAGACCTGAGTCCAGAGAAGGTGTGTGGGACCCTCCACGCTAAATCCATAGGGCTTCCCATGTGTGGGTTCAGACTGCCAAAAATCTAACGAACCTCGTGTCCTTTACCCTCCCAAAATGCAAGTATAAAATACTGCAATTTTGGGCAAATCAATGGGCACAGGGAAGACATTTCCTGTCCAAAGGGTCATAATCAGTGGCCATGGTATCTCAGCTCCTTCCAGGTCTGCTCTGCCTAGTAGACACAACCATACACCTCTCCGTGAAGAATGTGAAAGGCCTAGGAACCTAGAGAGCGGTCTACCAGGCTCTGATTCTCTTTATAACCACTGGCCCACCTGGACCAGGGAGAACCTGTGTCTAACAGCAACCTGCACCTGCTGCATTCTCAACCTGCAGTGGGAAATGGAGGCACAAACTCTGCACTTCTGAGCAACTAAACGTAGTCCTGAAGAAGTAACTAGCCCTGGACAAACAGAGTCACTGGGAGGCAAGGTGGAGAGATGCAGCCCAGCTCAGCAGTGTCTCCTTTATCCCAAAGGAGGGAGGATGCTACGGAGTGGTGGGCCAGACCAGGGGCCCTGCAGACCTTGAGTGACACCGAGACACCCCACCCCGGCCCCTTGGCTAATCCTGAACCCCTAGGCCACCATATCCTGCAAAGACAGAGGGGAACAGAAGTCAAGGTTCAAGTAACAGTGACACAGGACATTGGTGGCCACCGGGTGGGTAACTTTATCTGCTGTTGTCCCAGCCCCCAGCCCCAACACTTGGGAGGTGTCGGAAGAGTTAGCTGTGTCCCAGACACTAACACTCTAAGTGGTCTACATATGGGTGCACTGAGTCCCAGCATGCCCCTGTGGTTAAGGCAGCTCTTTTGCATACCTTGTTGTTCTGCATGTCTTTGTTGGCGCCATTCTTCAGGAGCACAACTGCAGCATCCACATTGTTCACTGCCGCTGCCCAGTGCAAGGCCGACTTGCCTGGAAAGAAAGCAAGGAGAGACAAGAGTAGGTTAGGACTGACCAGACCATGTGGTGGTTGATGTCCTCAGGAGCTAGGCTGTAGCTTGGGCCTACCTAGGTCATCCACAGCATTGACGTCTGCATGCGAGTTGATGAGGTCCTCCAGCATGCCCTCTACGGCCAGGCGTGCAGCCAGGATCAGTGGGGTTGTGCCATCATGCATGCGGGCATCCAGATCTGTGGCTCGGTTCCGGAGCAGGATCTGGAAGGCAGGGATGGATTCAGGCAGAGTGATCCAAACACAAGTTGGGATCTCCAGGAACCAATGCCCAGCTGTTCCCATGACTGGACCATCTTACGGTCATGCCTATCAGAAACACCTGCCTGGCATGGGGATAAAAGGGAGAGAAACCAGGATGGGAATCCCCCTCAAGGCCCACAGCCATACTTGGAACTGCTAAGCTGCCCTGCTTGAGTCACAAGTGGGAGGAGTGGGATGGTGACCTGAGTAAGGACTCACAGTACTGCCTGGATTCCTGCAGAGCATACACAGATTTGTCTGTACAAGCAAAGCAGGCCATGTGGACCTGCCCTGGGCTCCTCTTATCCTGTGGCTGACCTCAACCTCTCTTTGCTCTTTTGAAACAGGGTCTTTCTATAAAGACCAGGCTAGCTTTGTGCTCACAATCCTCTCAGATTCTAGAGTGCTGGGATAACAGGTATGCATTGCCCTGTCTGGTTTAATTTCTTCTGCAGACCAATAATATGTTGCTCAAGTTAAGAAATGATTAAATGGCAAGCTTTTTGACGCCAGGTCTATGCTCCGTTGGAGTCTGCTCCAGGGAGGCTTAGAGGATGGGACCTGGTAGCTGGGGTCAATGGCTGGCAACATGCAGGAGTAGCTACAGGGATTGTCCCTGGAGACCCAGGCTGCTAAATCCCTAAATCCACCCTGGCCGGCTTCAGGCTTCCAGGCAAAGGCCAGGACCAGCAGCCTCTAAAGCTCTCTTCCTGCTGCCATGGGCTATGCCTGCAGCCACAGCTGAATGGGGTGGGACTAGGCTGCAGAGGCTACAGCACTGGATGGAAGGCCTCAAGTCAGGCCATAGCCTTTAGACTGAAGGGTCTTACTGAGGGTAGGGAGGCCCTGCCTCACCCTGTAGGTTCCTTAGAACCACCTTCGGCCAGCTTGCCCAGAGAACACAGGTGGGGCTTGATGCCCTTTGTAACCTGAACTTGCTCCAATGTGCAGTTCCAGTGTTGAGGTGCCAGCTGTTCCTGACCAGTCACACTTGGAATTAGGGCTTGCAGGGCCCATGTCAGCCAGACCGCTGCCCCAGATCAGGTCACTGGCCCCAAGGGTGCAGTGCTGCCTACCTGAAAGACACCCTGAGCATCTGCAGAAACAGCTGCATGCAATGGGGTGCGCCCCATGTTGTCCTGGATGTTGGCATCTGCACTGGCCTCCAGCAAGCGCTTGGCAGCATCTGAACGAGAGTATCTGGCAGCCAGGTGCAGGGCAGTCTCTCCTGTGCGGTCCGTCTGGTTGTGCAAACTGGCGCCCTGGTAGATGAAGTCGGAGATGACAGCAGGTGCATCTTCTTCTTCTTCACTATTGCCTGTCTCGAGGCCTCCTCCACTGCAGGAGGCGATCATGAGGGGTGTGAAGCCATCTGCAGAGAGGAGAGAGACAGGGGTGGGTGTGGAAAGGGTGCTGTCAGCCTGGGGGGGGGGGGGTGGTCAGTACCCAGCCATGGCCATGGCAGCCCTGCCACAGCCTTCGGTTCAAGGGACAGCTGTGTGGACAGACACACCTCTCAGCACACAGTGGCTACTGGGGGCTGTTGAAGTCATCCTGAGTTCCTACAGGACAGAGCCCTAGTCTAGCTACCAACCTGCAATGATGGGGTGATAAAGACGCCCTCCAGTTTTACTTCCCGACCTGCCCAAGATACCCTTCATTGAGGACCCGTTCAGGAAAAAGACAAGAAAAATGTACTCAAAAAGTCACTATTGGGCAAATGAGATGGCTCAGTGGGTAAAGGCCTTTGCTGCCAAGCCTGCCAACCTGACTTTGGTCCCTGGGACCCACGTGGTGGAAAGAGAAAACCAACTCATGCAAGTTGTCCTCCATGTGTGCACTATGGCACATGTGTGCCCCCTCACTCAAATGAATAAATATTTGAAAATATAATAAAAAGAAGGGCTGGGGAGATTGCTCAACAGTTAGAGCACTGGCTGCTCTTCCAGAGGACTTGGGTTCAATCCCCACCACCCATATAGCTGCTCACAACAATCTGCAACTCTAGTCCCAGGGGATCCAATGGCCTTTTCTGGCTTCCATAGGCGCAAGGCATGCACATGGTACACAGACATATACGTAGGCAGAACCATGCACATAACATAAAAAATATATATACACATATTTTTTATATACATATATGCATATAATTTTAAAAGTCAACACTTTAGCCAGTCATGGGAGCCACACCTATAATCCCAGCACACTGGAAGTTGAGACAGAAGAACCATATTTGGGGCTAGCCTGGCCTAACAGTAAGACCCTGCCTCAAAAAACAAAGGGGAAAAAAAAAATCCAACACTCGGACGTATTGCAAAGCAGCATTTCATGAACAAGTGTACTGTGGGGGTAGCAGGAGCCTGGAGATCAGCTCAGGGAAGGGTGCTGCTAGGCAGAGGCATTCAGTGACCCAACCCTTCTCAAGTCCTGCTGGCCTCTAAGTCTACACTAGGGGTGTGTGTGTGTGTGTGTGTGTGTGTGTGTGTGTGTGTGTGTGTGTGTGTGTGTGTGGTGTCTGCAGTGGCCTTACCTGGTCCTCGGACATTGACATCCATGCAGTCAGCATCCACCTCACCCTGAGGTGGTGTTGGGGCCATGGCAGACATGCGCAGGTCAGCAGCATCCAGGTGCTGCTGGGTCCACTGCCTGTGGTCAGTCTGATCATCCAGGTCAGGAAGAACCACTGGCTCCTCAAACTGAATTTGGACAGAGAAAGCAGAGCCTCATCACTTGGGGCCCAGGTGGGAAGTGCCACCCAGGGAAGCCTGGGAGCCTGCTGGACTTACCCGGAACTTCTTGGTCTCCAGGTCTTCGTCCCCCCACTCGTTCTGATTGTCGTCCATCAGGGCACCATCTGAGGCATTCTTCAGGGGCCTGGGTGAGGGGGTGGGGAGACTGAGCAGGTGCTCCAGGAAATGCCCTATAGCCACAGCTCCTATGGGCACCCTCTACATGCAGGTGGGCTCAGAGTGAGGAACGGGATAGATGGGCCCATGGGCTTGCAGGAGCTAAGCACCCCACCCACCCTGCCACTCACCCCCCAACACAGTGGGGGCAGTGTCCACTCACTTGAGGCCGACAGAGTCCTCGCCAAGGGGCTCTCTCCGCTTCTTCTTGCTGGCCTCTGACACTTTGAAGCCCTCAGGGAACCAGAGCTGGCCATGCTGCCGCCGGCGCTTGCGGGACAGGAGTACCCCGCAGCCCACAAAGAACAGGAGCACGAAGGCAGCGGCTGCCACGTACATGAGGTGCAGCTGCGGGGGCAGCGGAGGCTCCACCGTCTCACCTGCGGGCAGGGGCGGCAGGCAAGCGCCCCACGTCAGGCGTGGTGATGCTGTGGGCCGGCGGGGGGCGGCGGACTGGCTCCGCGGCCAGTGCCTCCTCACCCACTCTCCTCCATCCCACCCCCCAAAATAAGGTCATTTTCTACGTGATTAATCAGAATTGCAAACTATCGCTAAATTCTCTCCTGCACCAGCCGATCTGTCTGGAGACAGTGCTCACTTCTCCCCTTTCGAGGAGGAGGATTAGCGAACTTCAAATCGCTGCGCTCGCATTGAGCTGTTAAGACAAAGGATTTAGGGGGATTTTCAAGATACAAACTTCAACACTTCACATGACACCGATCAATTCTCTCTCTCTCCTTAAAAAAAAAACTGTAATGATTTTGAAATAATACCCAACAAAGAAAAATCAGGGGTAAAGAATGGGGAGAGAAAAAAGCTCCCCCACACTTTCTGGTATATGTATACAATTAAGCTTTACCTGTGGCTGTCACCATCCACAGGGAAGGAAGGCCATCAGGAAAATTCCAGAAAAGCACTTTCTGAGCTCTGATGGCAGCTGGCACAGGAGTGTGAGACAGCCTGTCTGTGCCCTTCCCAGTTAGACTCCCCCTCCACTCCAGCAACCCATGCCTGAAGAAGCAGGGCTGGGGGATGGGGCACACACATCAAAATTTTTTTAGTGTGTATGGGTGTTTTGCCTGTATGCAGGTCTATGAGCCCTGTACATGTCTGGTGCCTGCAGAGGTCAGAAGGCGTAGGATCCCCTGAATTGGCGTTACAGATGGTTATAAGATACCGTGTGGGTTCTGAGATTTGAACCCTGGTCCTCTGCGAGAGCAGCCAATGTTCTTAACTACTGAGCCATCTTTCCAACCATGACCACTCACTCTTTACGGCCTCGATCTTGTAGGGGATGTTGAGGCTGCCAAGTGAAGCAAGCGCGCCCAGGAAGGCAGCCACATCGGTGGCACTCTGGAAACACTGTGAGTACGACTGGACACATTGCCGGTTGTCAATCTCCAGGTAGACAATGGAGCTGGGAACACACACATCACACTGAGATCAGGTGCAGCCTAGCATGCTGCCTGCACACCAGCTCTGACTTGCCATCCTACCCCCCTGACCCAGAGAGCATAGCTGGCAACAGCAGCCCTGCAACTGGACAGTCTCCCTGCAGCCCCGGTTTTTAGCACTCAGCAGGGACTCATCCTACTGCCTAACATGTTTTGCAGCCTTGCCCTTTAGGTACCACAGCACCCCTTTCCTTCACCTCTGAGAAGAGGATGTCCTCAGGCACCCAGGGCCCTCTTGAGAGCAGTACCTGGTGTCCCACAGAAGTCAGGGATGCAGTTGTGGGTTATTCCTCAGAACTCCCCAGGGAGTGGCCTGAGACAACATCAGGCTCAGATGCTAGACAGCTGAGACCATGCCAGCCAAGTCACCCACTCTCAGGCCCGGGCCTCTCGGACACGGGATTCTAACAGCCTCCAGGTGACAATGCATTTCTGACCTTTACTGCAGTTCCATGCCAAGGAAACCAAGGACTAGGAACCGCTGGGGTCAAGAGACACCAAGGTGCCACCTGGCAGATGCCCAGCAGCTCAAAGAGGAACAGGTGGCAGGCTCCTGGGACCCCCAAATGCAGGGTGTGGGGGCGACCTATTTGGCCTGGCTGGTGCTTCTCTGCCCGTCCCCAAGTGGCTCTGTGCAGCATCCGTGAGATGCCCTTATTTGTGCCTCCTCACTGCCACCATCAGCTCCTCAGCCGTCAAGGCTTCAGCAACAGTACCCTCCTGCATTCCCCACCTGCCTCCTCCGCAGTGTGAAGGGGGCTGTAGAGATGGAGGTGCAGACTTGGTCTAGGATGACTGAGCTCCAGGGAACACCCTGGAGGCTTTAATCAGCCTGGTCCTGATTAAACACCTGGTACAGAGCGGGGCCTCAAAACCACAAGCTGGGCAAAGAGTGAAGCCTGCCAGGTACCTAGAGGACAGGTGGCCTCCGCATTCCAGGTCCTTTCTGACCATAAAGTAGGGTGAATACCAGCTCCCCAGAGTTCACCTCCAGGGTTGAGCTGGTAACAGGCAGGGCCCATGGACGCAACTGGGAAACAGCCCTCAGCATCTGGAGCTCACTCACCCTCGGATGTCCATGGGGTCCAGCTCCCTGCGCTGGCGCCCCCCATTGGTGCTGGGAAGCAGCGAAGAGGTGGTCCAGCCCGCGGTGGAGCGCTTGATCGGGTGCTTGCGCAGCTCTTCCTCACGGCCATAGTAGGGGAAGATCATCTGCTGGCCTTGCGCATCACGCTTGAAGACCACGTTGGTGTGCAGCACGTGGCTGAGCTCCCGCAGGAAGTGGAAGGAGTTGTTCCGTAGCTGCTCAGGCGGGAGCAGTACCACCAACACCAACGTGCCAGCCGCCAGCCGCTCGGGCACATGCTCCGCACAGTCCAGTCCATCCCACTCACACTCGGCGCTGTTGCAGCCCTGGTCGCAATGGCCGTCACTGAAGTGGTCCTTGCAATACTGGTCATACAGGGGGCTGAGGGGTACAGGACACACTCAGTCTCATCCCAGCCCGTGGGCCTCACATCCACCCTGACCGGCCCAGATCTGGGAAATGTGCTTGGTGTCCTCTATGGGCAGGGATAGACATCGGGCTCGTGTTCCTGGTATTTGCTGGGTCCTCCCTCCCCCAGCTGTCTGCTGAGCCCTGGGACTCTGAGGCAACCCAGCCTTACTTACTTGCACTGTCCCTCGGTGCGCTGGCAGTCGAAGCCATCAAAGAGGCAGCCGGCTGAGTTGCACTGGCTGTCGCAGTGGCCGTCACTGAAATACTTCCAACACTGCAGGGACTGAGTGCAGTTCTTCCAAGGGTCATTGAAGTTGAGGGAGCAGTCACCACCATCCCAGCCACAGGCATGATTATTGCACTGCAGGTTGCAGACTTTGTTGCCTGCATCCTCCTGGCATTCAGGCAGCTCGCAGGCCTCCTCGATCTGTGGTGGGGGAATGTCGCGCCCAGCGCCACCTGTGAAGCTGTAGTCCAGGATGTGGCACAGCAGCCCGTTGAATTTGGCAGGGCACAGGCAGCGGTAGAAAGGGCTCTCGGATGTGGGCTCACAGGTGCCCTGATTGTAGCAGGGGTTGCTACCCACACAGGGGCTGCTGGCTGGGAACTGGCACTCAGGGCCAGTGAAGGCGGCCAGGCACAGGCAGGTGGGACTGCGTGGGCCTGAGATACACGTACCACCATTGAGGCAGCGCAAGCTGCCACAAGTGCGGGCATCATTCTCACACGTGGCGCCCTCAAAGCCCTGTGGTGGAGAGAGGATGGTGCATTGGATCAGGGTGCTAGGGTTCAGGGACACCATGCACCCCAGCCTAGGCCTGGCCACATCCCATGACCTGTGAGAGCCTGTGGCCTTTCCCCAGTAACAAGATCCTTGAAACATCCTCACCACAGAAAGGTAAGGAAAGCCAAGGGCTTTGAAACAGAGGGATAGCTGAGTAGGTATAACCCTAGGAGTTTTTAGAGCCTTGAAAAACCAGGCTGACACTGGTACATTGTATGTGTATGAATCCCTGAGTGTTAACACCCAGAGCAAATACTGCTTATCAGTGCCAGCTTTGAGTGTGACCCTCAACACCTTCCATGCAAGGTGGTAACCATAGGAAATGGCAGGCAGGGTGAGGACCTGGCCCTCTTGCTAAGTTCTCACGCAAACCTAAAACTGCTCTAAAATGAACATCTATTTAAAAACAAGAGGCTGGGCTGGGCCTCGGTGTCAGAACATTTGCCCAGCATGTGTGAGGACCTAGGTTCCCAATACAGCATAGCAGGAAATAAACTTTTTAAACAGGGTCTTGCTCTGCAGCCTGCGATAGCCTTGACTGCAAGGCAATCTTTCAGCCTCAGCCCCAGAGTACTAGAATTACAGGCATGTAGGTATTATGCCCACTCAAGTTTTATGAATGAGCTGGGAGAGTGGGCATGAGGAAGCATGGTGCTTGGTCCCTAGTCTTGGCTAGAGGCCTTCAGGCTACTCTGCTCTGGGTGAGGGTGGGTGTGGGACAGGTCCCTCCAATGTAAGATGAAGGGGTTCTGGCACCCTAGCAGCTGCACAGGGCCAGGGGCACCTACCGCAGGGCACCTGCAGATGAATCCGCGGGCAGTGTTGGAGGCCACGGCACAGACGCCCCCGTTCTTGCATGGTTTGCCCCTGCAGCCATTGATGACTGACTCACAGCGGCGTCCTGGGTGAGAAGACAGTAAGGAGCTAGCCCTGCCGCCACTGCCCGCCCGTCCACCCATTGGGCCCACCCGCCCAAGGCACGTACCAGTGTGGCCAGCCCGGCACTCGCAGTGGAAATCATTAACACGCTGCACGCAGTCCTGGGTGCCACGTGGGTCACAGGGGTTGGAGAGACACTCATTGACATCACCCTCACACCGCTCCCCAACGAAGCCTGGCGGGCAGGTGCAGCTATAGCCACCCACTTGGTCCACACAGGTGCCATTGTTGAAGCACTTGGGGCTTCGGGAGGCAGGATCAAGGTGGGGATGGCAGTCATCAACATTGATCTCACAGTGTACACCTGCAAGGTGACCATGGACACTGTCAGGGGATGGTACTGGCTGTACTCTGTCCTGTGTGGCCCAGCACAGCAATCAGTTAGAAACTGGGACCCAGGGAAGGTGGCACAGTGCCAGTGGAGTCTATCTTCCTACCAAGATTGGCCCCACAAGGCACGATGGAGTGAGCTCTGGCTGGATCCTAGCCACACCACCCGGGTCCCCACTCTTACCCTGTGTACCCCTGGGGCAGGAGCACTTGTAGGTGTTGGTCAGATCGATGCAGGTACCCCCATTTTGGCAGGGCTGGGAGAGGCACTCATTGATCTCCTCAGAACAGTTAGATCCGTGATAGCCAGCCACACACTGTAGAAATGGCACAGGCTCAGCTCAGCTGGAGTCATGGTATCATGTCCCCCACCTTCGATGCAGGCCTACACACCTGTTAGGCCTACACTGGCAGCCCGGGGCAGGGAGGGGTCCACCCAGCAGTCCCCAGGCACGACCTCAGTAAATTAAAGTCACTGTCCAAGGTGGGGAGGGGACAACACCTGGTCCCACAGGGGTGAGGTCTTAGAACAGGTGGTAGGTAGCATAAACTATCTCGGAAAGGACCCTAAGCCCCTGCTTGGCACGTTCTTCCTCCAGCACATCTGTAATGGGACTGGATCCTGTACAGGCGTGTGAAACCTTGCTCTAATAAGACACTGGGCTCAGTGTGCCAAGATACACCAGCTCCCAGCTCAAAAGCCCTCCTGCGGCAACACTCATGCCAATACCCTCCCCGCCACCCCAAGACGGCCCGCACCTTGCAGGAAAAGCCACCCAGGTAGTCAGTGCAGGTGGCTCCGTTCTGGCACGGGTTGGGGGAGCATTCGTCCACCTCGTCCTCACAGTAGCTGCCCGTGTAGCCTGCCTGGCAGTGGCAGTAATGCTTGTCTTCCTTGTTCACACAGAGGCCTCCATGCTGGCACAGGAGGGCGACATCGATGCCTGCGGGCACAGGAATGAGAAGGAGCTGGGACTTGGGCTGCAACGTCCAGGACTACCTGCCCACGTCCTCCCGACTTGGCAGGCACCAGGGCGATCCTGGCCGGGGTTGAGCCAGGGCAAGGAGGGATGGGCGGGGCCAGCTACCTCGTTTCTGCGCGGCCACCTCACAGGAGACGCTGAGCACATCGCAGTTGAAGCCGGCCCAGCCGCTAGGGCACTCACAGTGGTACTGCGTGTTGGTCTGCCAGCACTTGCCACCGTTCTTGCAGGGAGCTGAGTCGCACCAGCGCACGAGGTTCTGAGGAGGCAGGCGGCGGTCAGCCTCCTCCCCGCCGACCCTGACCGCCAGGGGCACCCTCTCGCCCCGGCCCTGGCCAGCTCTGAGTGGGGCAGTGGTTCTCAACCTTCCTAATGCTGTGACCCTTTTAGTACAGTTCCTCATGTTGCGGTGGCCCCCAACCATAAAAATCATTTCATTGCTACTTCGTAACTGTAATTTTGCTATGGTTACGAACCGTAATGTAAATATCTGACATGCAGGATAGCTAATATGTGACCTCTGTGGGGGGTCATGACCCACAGGCGAGAACGATAGAGTGGAACATTCTCTCCCTCTCTCACCCCCCCCCCACACCAGCTCCGAAAGAATGTCACCTAAGAACTCCCAGGCACAAGGCCCACAGACACCCCTTGTCTGGGGAGCAGCCTGGGACTGGGCCCCATGTCTCCCTTGCTCTCCTTCAGGGCCCTCTGCAAACCCAGGCCATCTACTGCCTTCCCTTGGACATCCTCCACCAGAAGTGAGCACTGCCCCCAGGCTGCTTTGGATAAATGGCCATATAATACACTCTACAGAAGCTAGAACCTGGCATCCCCACCCACCTGTCTCCCTTAGAAACATCCATCTTGGCATTTTCCCAGAGGATGTGGGTCCACTCTGGATCCATAAACCCATAATGACACCTGGGAGCCCTCTCTGCTTCTGTGTCCCTGGCCCTCTGAAGGTAGCATGGCCTAGGGCTGGGCACTGGGCAATGGAGAGTCCTAGGCTTTCTGGGTCAACCCCTGTAACCTCAGCTCACCTGGCAGTTGAGGCCAGTGTAGCCCTGTGGGCAGGTGCACTTATAGGTACCATAGCTGTCTTGGCAGGTGCCACCGTGCAGACAGGGCCGTGAGTCACACTCATTGACATCATACTGGCAGTAGCTGCCCGTGAAGCCAGGTGGACACAGACAGGTGAAAGAGTTGATGCCATCCACACAGGTGCCACCATTGAAGCAGGAGCTGGAGGTAGACAGGAGGCAGAGAAGAGTGAGCGAGTGAACTAAGGTCCTTGCCTGGAGAAGGCAACTCTATGCTGGCCTGGCTGCAACACTCACATCATCAGAGATTTTATAGCATATGGGTACGGTGCATGATGGTTAAAAAAAAAAAATCCTGGGCAAATGAGAATACTATAGGAAATACATCACAAACGAGGCGTGAGATTGACTTTGAACATTGAGCTTCCTGGCGATCAGGGCAAAGGAGGAAAGAAGATGGACTACAAAGCTCTCGTTTAGGAGGAGGCTGATTCACCAATTCCTCTGGATAAACACCCTTGTTCTAAGTCACTGGAGGTCACAAGGGCCCCTTTAGGAGGGACACTGCAGTGTAATGAACAACGCTGGGTTCAACTCAATTAGTGCTGACTGTCCACCGGGTCTGGGCAAGAGGTGTCAAGCTGTCAGTCAGTGTGTCCTCCACCATCGAATCCTTTCCCTACCTCCCTCAGCCAAGGCTGGGTCCCACCAGGCCCCTGGGAGACCAGAAGTCAGGACCCACCTCTCGGTACAGTCAGGTGTGTTATTCTCACAGTGGATGCCATTGAAGCCTGCAGGGCAGGTGCACGTGTAGCTGTCCACACAATCGGTGCAGTTGGCACCGTTTCGGCAGGGATTACTGGCACATTCATTGATGTCCTCCTCACAGAAGGCACCCTGGAAGCCGGGCAAGCAGTCGCAGAAGGCCATGTTGATGCCATCGGTGCAGGAACCCCCATTGTGACAAGGGTCTGAAGGGACAGAAGGATGAGCCTTAGGATGACACCAGAGTCAATGGGGCCACTCACTCCAGGCTGATCCCAGCTCTGGGCCTGGGCTCTGTTCCACATACATTCCTTCCCTCAGGCCCCCAGGCAGTGGGGAAACAGGAATGCAGCCGGCTTCACAGACCAGTCATGGGGGAACCCATCCCCCTACACACACCCTGATGGTGCCAGGCAGACCCTCAATCTCTCCAAGTCTTAGCTTTGACTCAGGATGGGGGCAGTCCCAGAGCCCTGCACAACTCAGTGGGTCCTGACAAGGGCCAATGTCAAGGCTGAATACAGTCAGGCCCCCTGCCACCATCCTGAAGCACCCGGTCTCCTGTTCCAGGCCATTCAACCGGGGTGGGCAATCTGGCTGCAGAGCGTGTTGGAGCCACTCTGGTCGACCCATGTGAAGCACACAGTGATGCTCGACAACCACCCCCTGGCCTGTCCCAGCATCTGACCTGTCTCCTCCTGGGCACAGGCGGGTGGAGTGAGCTGAGGGCACAGCTACCCACAGGCCTGCAGCTGACATCACTGGCTGTCACCGGGCGCCAGGACTATTTTCCCACCCCTGATTCAGCAGCTCCCTGCCACGTGTGCCTAAGGGACAGGCGCCGGAATGCTGGGCGGACAGAGCTGGGTACCACTTACTGGGCCGGCAGTCGTCGATGTCACTCTCACAGTTGTGACCTGTGTAGCCAGCCTGGCAGAGGCAGCGGTAGGTGCCGTTGGTGTTCTGGCAGGAGGCACCGTGGCGACATGGGCTCTTCACACACTCATTGATGTCAATCTCGCAGGTTTGACCTGTGAGGACGAGATCCCGTTGGTTGCCCTGCCCCTGCCCTCTGAGCCTCTGCCCTAGCTAGTCGGTCTACCTGCAATGCCTCTCCCCTGACCTCTGGGGAACAGAAAGCTACAGAGTCAGGATGGGAAGGGTCACCCAAGGTCGCCTCCTGCTTCTGAAGCTTCCCAGAGCAGGTGGCTCAGCACCTATGGGCTCATCTCTGGAGACTGGAGCCTACTCCCTCCTGCCCTGGAGCTGGCCGGGGCCCTTGACTTCCCACCCACCACCCCTGTCCCAGTCGGATGGGACCGGGCAAGCCTCACCCTGCCAGCCTGTGGGACAGACACAGGAAAAGCTCTCGTAGTCCTCAGACTCCTTGCACACCCCACTGTTTTTGCAGGGGCTGGTTGCACATGGGGCCAACACCACCTCACACGTGGCTCCTAAGGAGAAAGATACATGGTAGAACCCAGTGGGCATGACCCATAGCATCTCCCATAAAGAGTGGGGTGGGGAAAGTTTAGGGACCCTGCATGACTGGCCAGCCCATGACTAGCCATTCTGATCCTAGGAGGAGTGATAATCACAGACAGGAAGTTAGAGAAAAAGCCAAAACAAGTCTCTCTCTGACGTCACTTTTTTTTTTTTAAGCATAAGCTATGTGCATGTGAGTGTGAGTGCACATGAGTGTGTATGCAGAGACAGAGACGGACATCAGATGTCCTCTATCAACTCTGCCCTTTAGTCCTTTGAGACAGAGCCTCATTGAATCAGAAGATTGCCATTTCAGCTAGACCGGCCAGCCAGTGAGCACTTAGGATACATCAGTCTATGCCCCCAAATGTCAGGGTAAGGGGCATTTAGTCACGGTTTGTTTTCATGTAACTCAGGCCTCATGTTTCCACAGCAAGCACTCTTCCTCCATGAGCCATCTACCTAGCCCCTGAAGCCATCTCTTGCCTCCCAAATGCTTCAAGATGAAGCCTGGGCCTTGCCCCACCAGAAAACTTCAAAACAAGATCCACACTGTAACAGGCAGTTGAGGCTGGCAAACCCTAGCCTGCTCCCCATTCCAGGAAAAGCCCTGCCTGCAGCCCATCCTGAGGCTCTAGATCACAGAAGGCTCACTCTACAGGGAGACAGAGCCACTGTGGCTACTCCAAGCACATCCTACATGTTGAGGAGCATGGGGTGCAGCCTCCCACCAGGGCAGTGAATCTGATAACCGCCTGGGGGAGCCATGTGCACCCACTCTCCCTGTAATCCAGGCTAGCTTTCCTGTTTATGGCTATGGTTGGCTCCAGAGCTGAGCAAGGAAGCCTTATCTTCCTTGTCTCCCACCATGTCCCCAGCCTGCTGGTGTGAGTCTCCAGGGCCCCTATCTCTATCGGTTTCCACGGTGACCTGGGCAGACAGGAACTTTGACAGAGTTTCCGACAATTGTGCAAAGGGAAGCAGGAAGCAGGCCAGCAGGAAGCAGGTCAGCATGGCTTGACTCCTCCCGCCAGCCCCGATAGCAACAAGACCAGGAGGGACATGGGGTGCGCCCAGCTGCTGACAGTTCCCTCACTGACCAACACAGGAGACAAAATCCAGGCCCTTTAACTTTTGTCAAAAAAATAAAAAATAAAAATAAAAAAACAACCCCAACCCTAACCCCAAAACAAAACAAAACAAAACAAAACAAAAAAACAGCATCCTGGTCACCAGCTGCCAGGCATCATAGGAACACTAGCAGGGACCCTCCATCTTCACAGACCCACTTGGGATGTCCAGAGCCCAGCAGCAGCAGCAGCATGAAGCCACCAGTATCCAGTGGCAGTATCAGGACTGACAGGGTTGGGGGGCTATGTGGCCATGGCTTTCATGTTCAATGCTCTGCTCATCTCTCCTGCAGGGGGTCCACTTCTCGCCATTCCTCAGGCAGTGCCCATGGCAGGAGCTGCTTCTGTTCATCCGAACAGAGGGCTCCTTGTCTCCTCACACAAAGAAGCTGCCATCAAAGGAATCTCAGGCCCAGCCGGCAGAGGAGGGCAGCCAGGCCCCTCAGCCAGGCACAGGCAAAGTGGACACTGATCCATGCACTGTCCATCAGCGCCCTGGGCTTTCTCTGGAGGAGTCTGGTGCTCATCTCACTCCAAGCCTGCCAGATAAACACCCGGACACACACGCCCTGGGACTTCCTCCCAGGCATCCTCTATGTTTGCTCATCTGGTGACTCTATCCCCAGGCCCAGGCCCAAGTGCTACAGGACCTAAGGCTCTCAGCAAGGAGCAGAAC